ATTAGCTGTGATTTTTTCTGCATCATGTAGCCCAAGCAGTAAATCAAACAAGGGAGTTTCAATAGGATAAAATATCAGATTTGAACTGAGGCTGAAAATCCTGGATTTCATTTAAAGAAGACAAATAATTCACAACTGTGGAAGATCTGAGCAGACACGTGTGCACCACGTATGCACAAGCCAGCTGGCATTCTGCAGCTAAGAGCCATTACTCTGAGTGATCTGACAAGAAAAAAAATAAATAAAAATCAGCCAGTCAGGTAGTAGTGGGACACATCTGACTCCTTATCATTATGTGCCAAGGTGAGTCAGATCATGAATGGCACAGATAAGAAAAAAATATATATATCTATGTATATAGATATATAGATATAAAAGAAATTTCCAGTCACCAAATGGGTTTGGGATAAGAGAATCTGCTGAGGACTGATGGAACTGGCCACAACAATTTTTAACAAAAGTCTGTGAAGAAGAAACATGTAGTGGGCCTCAAGAGATCCACTGGGAAAAAAAAAAAAAAAAAAAAAAAAGATGCATCACTTTTTTTTTTCCCAGAGGACAGAACCAGTAAATAGCAAAGTATTTTCAATAAGACTAATTAAGAAAATAACTAAATACATAAGCTCTGTTCCTTGTAACTCCAAAGCTGTTAAGACCTTCAGAAGAGAGAGTGACTTTTAAAATAGTCTCAAAAATAAATCTGCAGCAATGTCTCAATCAGGGTATAGTCAGTAAGCCATATCTGTACGCGTACTATTAAAATGTGCTGTTGAGCAACATTAGCTCATCCAGTTAGGGAAAGAGCTACTGGGAAGAAAGAAGCACAAGGACACTACTTCAACTATTACATGAGGGCAATTTACACAGCCCACATGGCATCACACGTGGTTGGGATGATAAGAAGAGCTGGGGAATATTTTCAGCTTTGCTTTTTTTTTTTTTTTTTAATGAAATAGCCAAGGAACCCTTGCCTACAGACTTAAAATCTTATGCTGACCAAGCACTCCTAATATAAATAAATATAATAAATGAATAAATATTAAATTAAATATAAATATATATATATATAATAAAATAAATAAATCTGCAATGTCTTTTGTTTTCAAGATCTATTGGTAATACTTTCAATCATGTTACTGTGTACTTTTCTTCCTTGACAGAGTCATCAGGTTAGTAACCTACACTCCAATCACTTTCCCTTAGGTTTATATATTCAAACAGCAAGCTCTAGTTTGCAACCAAGATGTCCAGATATTCCCATCATTTGGTTGCTAAACACAGCCATTGAATGACTGCAAAATCCATCTCCAATGGTCATGTCTTGTTCTCTGCCAACACTTCTCTCCTCTGGTTCGGGAAAATGATGCCACCTTGGAAAGGAAATTTTGCCTCATTCCCTGTTGTGATTTCATCTTGTCAGAATAAATTCTAATTTCATACCTTTAAATGTAATATACAAATTTGATGATAGCCAAGAAAGTGCTGCTGGGAGAACAGTAATGGTTACAGTCATAATGCTGGCATAAGATGCTTTGGTGCTATTAGAGGTAATTAAGACTAAAGTACAGTAGTAAATAGTTTTCAGTCACTTGCAATCCAATGAGCTTTGCCCCTTAAATATGCCATATCTAGTGGGGTTTACCTTTGCAGGGGATTCTGGGTACAGAAATGCAAGAATGGAAGTAAAAGAGCATATCAACCTCACATAATATGAGCCTCTTCGGTTCTGAGGGGCAAGGGAAGAGGACAGAGGGGCCGGTCACAACTTTTAATAACATCTCAAAAATCTAAGATACAGATGGAATTTCATGGGACCTCTCAAAACATCTTCAGCCTTAATTGCTACGAGAATAATTATGAGATGCCTATCTGAACGGTGAAATACCATAAAAGCTAACTTCCAATTCTTAGCTTCATAGCTAAAAATTGATTAAAGGATGTCAGAAATGATAAAATATTGTAGCACTTTTCCTTTCTTTTATTTTCCTGCCTCTCTCTTGTACATGTAATTCCATGACCTCATTTGCTTGTTCTGAGGGACTGCAGAGAGTCTTTAACAGAAGCAATTAAAAAAAAAATAAATGATGAAAAGCAAGGAATAACTTAAGTGTGATGGTCTCAAAGATGCCATCTAAAGTTGAGTATGACAGCTTCATGCCAATACTGGACACGATCCCGCAAAGGGTCAGAGATCAAATTCTAGACTCAGACTTCCTGTGATGTCAAAGAAAACGCTTTTAAAATTTCATATTTTTACTGAACGAGAGTCAAATACTTTCTTCTGGCAGCATTTCTTGCAGGTCATCTTCTGTGCCATTTGAAATCATGGGGAAGAGAGAAAGGGCAGAGCCTTTCTGCCCTTAGCTGTGTGTTAGCTGGACATTTTTAGTGAACCCTCTGAATAAGCACTGCCAGCTGTGTGCATTAGAGAGCCTTCATTACGAGAAATGAATGATCCCCTCCCTCAGGTGAAGATGGAAGGAGCTATAAAGGGTAATTCCAAAGATAGTGGTAGGAAAGAGACCTAACATACCATTCATCAGCCATGGCAGAAAAGGGTAGAAGGAGTGGAGCAATGAATTCTGCAAGCTTAGAGCTTCACATTCCTGATATACTCCTGACACATTTCTACATATAGTATTTATATTAAAAAAATATATAAAAATAAATTGGATATTAGCCAAAGCTTGGATAAAGTGTGGGGTATTAGCCACATTCATCTCATGTGTTTAGAGAAAATGTTTGAGACAGGCTGTCACACAATCTCACTTCCTTTCTTCTACTTTGCATCCTCAAATAGGAGACCAGTCATCAACACTAAGCTCATCGTGAAGGCAAAAAGCTGGCGCCTCCCACCTCCCAGATTAGTGCCAGTACCCTGGCGGTAGGCTTCTCTGGGAGTCAAGCGCTCTCACTTCAGGGCTGTTGAGGTTGAGCAATACTCCTTAAGGAAAACTCCTCTCCTCTTTGCCGTCAGAGTCCTGCACTCCTCTCTGAGTTGCAGCACAACTTCAAAAGAAAGAGTAGGGAAAGTGTACCTTCTCTAGGACACGCTACAGCAAGACAGAAGAGGTGAATTTGAATCACCTGAGACAACAAAAGTGTGTTGTACACAGCTCTACAACTTCCTGAGCAAATGCTCTAACCACAGGGCTCCTAAATAAATGGTCATTATTTCCTTCTGAGCTCTGAAAGTAAAGCATAAGACAGTCCCTTAAAGCACTGAAGACCAAGCAAAGTTTTTGCAGCTGTGAGTCACACTTTCCTCACATACTGAACTCAGAACTGCAGCCAAGTGCCAAAGTCGGAGAGACAGAGAGTATTTCATACTCATGTGGTCTTCAAATGGCCAAAGCCTCTTTCCAAGCAGCACTCTGGGTGTTACGAAGCCTGCTTGTGAGCCCTGGGAACATGTCTTCGTCATGCTACTTACTCTAGAAAGAACATCTAACTTGGGTTTATGAATTGAATTCCCAAAGCTTGTTAAATGTGTCTCTGAAGATCTGGATGAAAGTATTGTGTTTCAAAAGGAAGCTGTCAAGTAATGAATAAAAGTGGTCAGCACCAGAACATCGTACTCTGAAGCCCTTGTAAGGCAGGGGCACTGGCACAAACTCGAGGTGTAAAGGGCTGAATCAGTCTCAGCTGAATGTGATGCAAGATGAACCAGCTGCTAATGGCCCCCTTATCTGTCCCACGTATCTGTTAGAACATGCAGGCTAATTCTCTGTCACTAGGCAAGATGTAAGGCTACAACCAGGGTGAAATAAGTGCAGCTGGTTAATATATGTATATATATAGGAAAAGAAACAGTTGACACATTTTTCTCCATGTCTTTCAGTTAATATGCACCAAATTTGCCCATTCAGAACATTTATTATAGAAAAGTGCCTTGTCCCTTGCTTACGCAAACCTCTCTCTCACTGCCTCTCATGTATCAGTTCTACCTTTCTATTCGTGCCTGATTTGTGCATGATAGCTGGGAAATGATTCCTAATCCTGCAGCTGAACCTAGAGCAGAGGCATTTTACTCTGCAGACCAGCATTTTGTTGGCATAACCACTGGATAGGACCCAACCTTACTCAGCATAGCAAAACAACTGCCTGAAGACTTGTTTTTTTTTTTTCTCCCCATTCAGCTGATGTCATCCAGGAAGTAATGCAGCTCATTTAGGAGAAAAAAATAAAAAAGGAGGGGGTGAGAAGTGTCAGCCAGCTGAGCTTGGAGTTCCCTCTAGGTGGATGTGCTGACAGAGCTATGTTGCAAGGAGCTCCTCCACTGCAAGTCCTGGTGCAAGCGGGCAGGCTTTCCACTGCCATCCTCAGGAGATTATTGCAAACACTAGGATTCATTTGTTCATGCTTCACTTGGATTATTTGACACTATTTAATGTGGTGACCTATCAATGGTGCTTAACTTTACAGCTGCATTTTCTGTCAGATAGAGACAGACAAAACTGAGCATGTACAAGTCTTGATTCTTCTACTCATATTTGATTTTTTTTCCTCAAATACTCCCTGTATGTTCATATTCTTTGCAATATCTTATATGGTTCTGTCTTGGGCCTAAAGTAAATTATTGACTTAAGAAAAGGGACTTGTATGGCACTGTTGGGCTGAGGCTTTTTTTTTTTTTTCTCGTAGCCTCCATTGCCCTCATCTTGTGAACAGCTTTGTGTGCCAGTAGCTTTCCATGCATGACCGGTCCCACTGAATGGCTCCCACATGACTCTGCTCGTAACTGTTTGTAACATCAGGTGTTCACAACAGGAAAGCACTGCACACAGAATTTCGGCTTCTGTTCTGAGGAGGAGGTTATTGTTGTCCTTGGAAAGATCATCTCATCGCAGAGGCTGGAGCAGTTAACGGGTTCTGCCTTTGCATTGAAAATGCTTGTTGCTTCCCACGCACTCAGGAAAACAGGAGGATGTCCCAAAGAGAACAATGAGGGTGGCGATGAACCTCCTGGCATTCATTTACACTTAACCCCTGGCACTTACCTCAGGCACCAAAAACGCAGCAGGCTGGTGAGTTCAGAGGGTTTCCCTGTAGGCAGCTGAGACACAGGAGCAGAACCTGGGTGATGGGATTTTCAACTCCTGTATCAGCTCCTGCATTGCTGTGGCAACATGGCAACCTAAGGAATTACTTCAGAGGGCTGAAGAAAGGCACTTATTCCAGCCAGCAGTAAATTCAGCCCCCAAATATTATCATATAAGTAGTGATGAGTTTTGCGGGCAATCTGTGAAAAATATTGTACGCCCACATAGGCAGCGATTGAAACAGAATATGCTCGCTGGAGCTGAGTGGTATTTCACCATTTAGGAAGCTTTTTCATTAGTCAACTGCCTTTCAGTAGCTAAACTCCACGTTTGCCACCTGAAATGTTCCTTTAAAGCAACACAGCACCAAAAAAAAAAGGCACGGATTCTTATCCCCTTTTCCAAGCAGGCTGAACTCTTCCATCCGAAGCAGTTTGATCTTGGCACAGCTCTCCAGGCAGCGTTACACATTTCTGGGAAAGGCATGTCAAAATCACAGCGCTCGTCGGGCGGTTTGAGCAAGAGCTTCATATCTAGCTGTGGGGAAACGCAACCCAGGAGAAAAAAAAAAAAAAAAAAAAAAAAAAAAAGATTTAGAGGAAAATCAGAGCAAAAACTAAAGGAAAAAAAACTAAAGGAAATGATTGATTTTGGTGTATGCAAATTGTGGGCTGCTGATCCTCAGTTTCAGCTGTAATCCCGAAGTTTAACAGAAGCGTTTGCTCGTAGACTGGAGGGAGTTTTGCAGGACTCGGTCCAACGTTTGCATGTAACTGGCTCTCCTAAGCCTGTTTCCAATTAATCTATCTCAGGCTCTAACTTCTAAAGAGCGGGGTTTTGGGACGCAGCCTGCCTTTATTCCCGTTAAGCCAGCGCTGAACCTCCCCTTAAACTCAGCTGGGAGCGCAGCGAGGCCCGCGCCCAGCCCTCTTCCAGCCGTGCCTTGCAGCCCGTGCGATGCCCTCTCCCTGCCCTGGGTCAAAGCCCAGCCTTGCCCCTGCCGCTGCGCGTTATTCGCCCTTATCCCAAATCCCCTTCAGGGCGCAGCACACCTCCAACCCCGTGCCCTGCCTGTCCGGAGGCAGCACCACCGCACCTCCGCGGCTGCACCGCCCGGGCAGGGCCCCAAATCACCCCGCGCTGCCAAACGCTGCCCCCATCCCGGCCACCCCCGAGCGCGCCCCCGCGCGTCCCCCCGGCGCGCCCCCGCGCCCCACCGCCAGCCGCGGGGCGGTGGCCGCGGAGCCCCGCCCCCCGCCGCCCCGCCCCGCCCCTCCGCGCCCCGCCCCCGCCGCCATTGGCCGGGCGGCGGCCCCGCCCCGCCTGGCCCCGCCCCCCGCCGCCCGGCAGTCGGGCGCGGGCGGAGCGGGGAGCGGCACCCGCGGCGGCGCCGTCCCGGCAGCATGGGCCGGGGCTGACGGACGGCGCCCGCCCCGCAGACGCCGAGCGCCGCCGGCGGGCCCGGGGAGGGAGCGAGAGGCAGAGGCTGGGGCATGAGGCAGGGGCAGAGCGGGGGGCGGGAAGTTCGCGCCGCGGCCGCCCGGGGAAACTTTCCGCCGGCGGAGCGGAGAGGAGCGGGGAGAGGAGCGGAGAGGAGAGGAGCGGAGCGGGGCGCGCTGAGGCGGCGCGGGGGCCATGCCCGCCGCCAGCCTGCTGCCGCTGTTCGGTAGCGCGGCGGGGCCGGGGGCGCTGGGCGGCCCCGCGGGAGGCGGCGGCGGCGGCGGCGGAGCGGGCGGCGGGGTCCGGAAGGCGGCGGGCCCCGGCGCGTTCCGGCTGACGGAGAAGTTCGTGCTGCTGCTGGTGTTCAGCGCCTTCATCACCCTCTGCTTCGGGGCCATCTTCTTCCTGCCCGACTCCTCCAAGCTGCTCAGCGGCGTCTTCTTCCACTCGGCCGCCCTGCAGCCGCCGCCGCCGCCGCCCGGCGGGCAGCCCCGAGCCCCGCCGCAGCCCGGGGGGGGCCCGGCGGCGGCGGCGGCGGGCGGCAGGGGCAGCCTGGCGCGGATCCGCGCCGACCACGAGCGGGCTCTGCGGGAGGCCAAGGAGACGCTGCAGAAGCTGCCCGAGGAGATCCGCGGGGACATCCGCCGGGACAAGGAGAAAGTCGCGCAGGACGCCCGCGGCAGGAAGGAGCCGGCCGCCTCCGGGCTGCCCCAGCGCCCTTTCCGCCCGCCCGTGGGCGCCGCGGGGCAGGAGCCCGCCGACCCCGCCGTGCGCCAGCGGAGGGCCAAGATCAAAGAGGTGGGTGGCAGCCGCCGCTCCCGGGGACCGGCCCGGGGCGGCCCCGAGCACGGCAACAGGTCGCCGGCGGCGGGGGGGAGCGCGGGGAGCGCCCCCGCCTCGCCCCGCTGCGGGATGCCCCGGCCGGAGCTGCGTGCCGGCTCCGCATCCTCCTCCTCCCTTCCTCCTTCTGCTCTCCTCCTCCTCCTCGCAGCCGCCGGGGCCCCCCGGCAGGAGCTGGCAGCTCCCGGCCCCGCGACGCCTTCGCACGGCTCCGCGGGGCTCGCCGGGCTTTGCCCGTGCCTCCCGGGGCAGTGGCGGGGCTCTGCCGACCGTGCCTGCCGTGAGCAGGGCTCGCTGGGGTCCCCCGCGGCACAGCGAGGCTCGTTTCTTTCTTTCTTTCTTAATTCTTCGTGCCGTTCAACTTCCTGCCGTTGCCGGCAGCCCGTATTTATCGAGTTGACAATTCCTGCTGCCCGCGGGGATTAGTCCGTAAATTACTAAGTAGCGTGTGTTGCCCCTTCTGCGGGGATGGGAACGAGCCTCCCAAGCACGGAGCGTTTCCGTGAAACATCGTTAGCCCTGTTTAGGCTGATTTATTTTTATTGCATGTTTGCACAGAGCGGGCTGAAAAATCGGCATTGGCATCACGCGGAGCACCAAATAATAAGCTCTCACAAATCTCAAATTGTGTGCCGTGCTCTGAAGTCCTAGCATCAGTTTAACTGTTTCAGCAAACTGTGCACCAGTCATAAGCGGTAGATGCCGACGCAAAGGTGTTCAGAAGAGGGAAGCTCTCAGGAATGCACAGTACAGATCACATCTTGAAGTGTGCAGAGACGGTGTTCTCGCTGCTTGCAGCCTCTCAGCCTCCCTGAGGCATACAGAACAATTAGAAATACCAACAAACTATGTTTCTGGTTATCTTGAATTGCCATGTACGAGTATTTGAGAGTAGCATAATGAGGCTTCAGACCTGATGTATGACAGTCTGTAGTACAGAGGAGTGCAACAAGTAAATAAGCTGGAGGAGGAAGATAAAACTTGAGTATACTTCTTATTTTGCTGGTCTAGCAGCATGCCAACTAGCCCAGTGATCTTCTATTCTATTTGTATGCAAGTGTGTAAGTGTGCACAACTTGCACCCTTGTGCATGTTAGATGTAAGTGTGCATGCATACATATGTGCCCCAGGACCTCTTCCTTTTCTTCCTCCCTTTCCATCCTATCGCTCTTCTTTCTCCTCCGCTTCTACCCGGGAACCACCGACAGTACAATAACCCCCCGGACCAGATGTTTGGCAATTGTAAGCGTAGGAAATGATGACAGAGAGACCGCATTTAGTTTCCAGATCTTTATTTTTCCTTTTTATCTCAGTATCATTCCTCAACATTGTGTGTTGTTTCTGGGAGTTTTCTTTCCTCCCAATGCAGTGTGTGAACTTATCACGTTGTTTACTCAATTGCTTTTGCATTTCTGCAGTACTTTGACCTATCTGATTTTTCTTTCTTTGAAGAATACTTTTTTTTTTTTCCTGGCATTAGAACAGCGTTTCCTTTTTTCTGTTAACTTGTTTCATATGTTGGACTTAAGGTTGCTCTTTTCCCTGTCTTGTTCACCTTTTTGTGTACGTGCCTTACTGTTAAGCTGGAATTCTGATCGGCAGGCTTCTTAGAAATTGTTTTAAATTGTAACTTTCAGAAGGGTGCGCTACCTACTGCACTGCACGTGCACGGAAAGGGTGGAACCTACCCGTTAAAGCTCCTCTCCTTGTGCCTGGTTGTTGCATGCTGGAGGTGTAAACTGGACAAATCTTTCTGCCTTCACACCCTTTCGAGCCTGGAAATTACGCCTGCCATTGCATGATGTATGTCGTAGGGTTAGGACTCAAAACTTGAAACTAGTTATGAGGATGCTTCTGGCAGAAGGAAGCAGGCTACCTTGTAAGAAACGAATGTGAACGAGTAAGGCTGTGCTTCCCCATGTTTCTGTCCTCAAAGAGCTCTGCATTGTCAACAGGGCGATGTAAAGGTGAGGGCGGAGAGAGCTGAAAGGGAGTGTGTAGCATTTCTTAACAAAGTTTTGTTATAGAAACTTCAACCTTTTTTTTCTTTTTCTGTGGCACATTTAAAAAACAAAAAGTGAAACTTGAAAGAGGTGGGAATATAAAGATTCGTGAGCTTTATTTAGTATTGAAACAAACACGGTATGACGGAGAGCTAGAAAAACACAAAAGTTTCTACTAGCTTATCGAGTGAGCAAAGGTCTCGTTAAAGAAAAACAAAGCAGAAGTAGAGATCTTGTTTTGTTGCTGCCTTCTGCTCAGAGAGAACAACCCTGCTGTCCTCAGTGTCCGCATGTGGCAGCCACCCCGTGGAGCTGCACCTGCGAGGCCTGCCTGCCTGCAGGCCTGCCCCTATGGCACGGGGCCTGGGCCTGAGACCTTGCTGCATGCTGCAATGCCCCTCGTGTTCCCCTTCTGATGATGAACTGCAGGCAGACATTGGAAGAGGGTCTGGCGGTGCTGCCTGCAGCAGGGTTTGCCCAATACTTCCTGTTGTAAAACCTCTGTCAGTCACTTGTGACTGCTGCGTCTTCTACTGGCTGACTGACGTTGCCTGCGCTGCGCATCTTTGTCAGGCTGTGGTTTGGGAAGGCTTGAGCATGGAGGCCCAGCTGCTTTTGAGGCTACCAGTGAAGTTGTGTTTTGTTGGCACTTGCGTTCTTCACACGGTTTCACTGATGCTGTGGTGTCTCCATGACTCAGAGCAGGGTCTGGGTACACGTTACGCCCCACTCTGGTTTCTCTTTTGGTGTCACGATAGGAGCCCTGGGCTGCAAATGAGGAGGTTGTGGTTTGTTCTTGCTTCTCCACTTCCGATCTGAGAGGTGGCCCCTCCTTTGAGCAAGTCCTTCCTGTGATACCTGTTCCCCATCTGTAAGGAAAGGGGAGTGGAAGGTGGTGATGACTTCCATTCAAACAAGCAGAAATTTTTGCAATCTGTGCTATTGTCCTGTTGGTTGTGCCTGGAGATCAGAAATAACAGGGAGAATAACATCAAAGACTTGCAGGTGCAACATCAGTTTGGGAAAGCAGCAGCTTGATGTGAACAAAAGCAGTGTTTAGCAGAGGACAAGTAGTGGAGACAGGCTATGAAGGCAGGAGATGCACTGTTTCAATTGGGGAAATCTGACTTTGAATCTTTTTTAAGTCTTATTCCTCGCTTTTCAAAAGAAAAAAGACAATTGAATTATTTAGGCATTAGGATAATAACAAACTGAACTCTTTTATTTCAGAGAAAAGGAATAGAAAACAATGAGTGAGCTTGCTCAGGTACTAGAAGCAATATAATCATATTAGAGCTAATTAATCCTGCTGAGCAGCAAGCTATTGGTGTTGGTAGCGCACCATACTAATGCAGCTGTGCTGTTCCTGCACAAGGCAGCTAGCTTGGAGCCTGCACACATTATTGTATGGTGCTGTTCAGACATGTCTTCAGGGTAAAAGCCTTCTTGGAAAACTGGGGCCTGATGTCTGTAATCCATGGTCATGCTATCTGTTCCTCACAGTATTCCCAATGCTTGCACAGCTCTCAGCTGTTGCAGTCATTGAGTAGAAGTGCTGAAGAGGGGAGTTTTATTCACTGGGCCTATGGTCATTCCTGAGCATCAGTCCTTTGTGCTAGATGTTGTCACAAGGCAGCAAAACAGACTCGGCAGCTGGAGATTACTTCATGCTGTCTTTATAGAAAGAACTCCTTTAAAGTTGTGTTGACAGTGTGATTCTGGAGCTTCCTAAGTCGTAAATATTAATTTTGTGGTAGCTTCATCATATTAGGCAAGAAGTCTCAGCGGCATTGCAAGGAAGTTCAGAAATATCTGGAGGAAAGGATACTTGTGAGCATGGAAATAATCAGAGGTCTAATATGCACTTGTC